TCCGGCCTCTGTGCTCGGGTCCCGCGCCGTCCCGGGGGCGGTCGCCTTTCGCCTCACGTTTCCGCCTGGACTGAGGCGCTTTGGCTCCGTCCGCGCTTTGGTAATAGCTCCTCAAGTTTGGCGTAGCAGTTGGCCCTGTTCCTGCCCTGCCGCTGACTCGCGGGCGAGCCCGGGCACGCCGGGTTTCGGGCTCCTGTCTGCAAGTGGCTGGGGGCACGTGTCACGGGGGCAGCACACGTGGGGCTCCTGGGCGCCGCGGCGCGGTTGTGTAATTGGGGCTCCTTTCTTCGCTTCGTCAGCGCCCCGCCTCTCTTGACCAGGACAGCGCGCTGTCCTTCCCTAATCGTAGGTCACACTCACCCCTGTATCAGGCTACCAGTTATGGAAATAGGTTATAAACCTTAAGTTGGTCGAGTATGCCATGGTCAAAATGGAGTTGAAACCATAGATTCTGGTCACGGTAATATTTCAGGGAAAACCTGGAAAGGCAAATTACATTGTTAACGCAAGAGCTTTTAAGAACGTAAGCGCACTCTTGCATGATTAGGGGAGAAGTTTGTGGAATAACAAGCCAGTTACCGTTAAGGCACTAAGATAATTATCCAGGTAGAATGAAGGTCCTTTTTTTTTTTTAAGATTTATTTTTTTCCTGTCTCATGAATTGCCTTCCTGGCTAGTTCACTGCAAAAACCCCTCCAGCTTTTAACTACTCCGAAAGCCTCCTTTTAAATTATGTTTCTCATCTCCTGTGGGATGTACCCTTGGCTTCCAGCTATGCTTGTTTTACATGTTTGTCGTAGGAAATTGAATTTATCAGACTGTAATCGTGGTGAAAAACTTTTTGTTAGACTGTGTTTAGGGTTGGAGATTGAGTTTACTCATTGAAACTGTAATGTACAGTGTACATTACAATAGGAAGGTCTTATCTAAGACCTCATTAACTTCATAACTTCAGCAGTATCTAGATAGCTTTATGTTAGTCAAGACTCCCCCTGGCCTGTTTGAGAATTAATTTAGTGATTCTGAAGATTCATTTCTAAAACAATGCGGAACATCTGTCTTTGACATAGATAATGTTGTGAATACTTAACTTGTGCCAAGTGATAACATGAATCATCTTAATTCATATTAATAGTAGTCCTATTATTATTCCCATTTTACCGATGGGAAAACCAAGGCTCAAAGATGTTGAATGACATGCCCAATGTACAGTGATGACTGTCAGTGGTGCTAGGACCCAAGCAGCTAACTTGTCCTTGAGTCTGTAGTCTTAAGCATCATTCTGTACTGAACTGCTTCCCCAAGTGCAGCAACATGTAACTAAAGGCTTGTCACTGCTGACTTCATTCTGATTAGATGTAACTATAAAACAATGACACAAAAGATATCCCACCACACACGCCCCCAGAATTTAGAAAACAGCCATATGAGGGCTGTCCCCAGGGAGCCAGTGCCCGAGACCCAGTCCGCCTCGTTGCTGCCCTTCGGACTTTTGGAGTTTTCTTAGAGAAATGCTTCCGAAACCAACTTAGCAGAAGCACGTGGACTGAGCACCAGCTGAGCTCCAGATGCTTTACGTACATTCTCTAACTTAATCCTGTCGGTCCTGTCATGTGCTTTTATCCTCACGTTACAGATGAGGAAATTGAATGGCAGAGAGAAGTCAAGTAGTTTCCCTGAGACAATAATCACTAAATGGTAGAGCCAGTGATGGTTGGTTTTGGGTTGGCCATACTCCTGCGTGGCAGACGCTGCTACTCAAAATCCATTCTCCTTTCTTTTGTAACAGAACCCCTGAGTTTTATCTGGCCATGCGGCTGCCCAGCTAAACACAGCCTCCCTTGCAGCAGCTAGGCATGCACACGTGACTGAACTCTGACCAATGAGATGTGAGCAGAAATGACACATGCGACTGCCAGGTCATATCCTTTAAACACTTCCTCTTTTCTTACGCTGGAGCTGGAGCAGCCACTTAGACCTTGAGATGGAGACCCTGGGCTGAGGATGGCAGAGCATCCTGCCTGGCTCTCGAAGCCACTGTGAGAGCCCTGGGCTGTTAGATTCAAGTTCTCTCTGGTTAAAGCCGTCATATTGGCTTTTGTTACAGTTGATGAACCTGCAACTTAGTCCAGACGTCTTGAATGGCTGACAAGATAAGACACCCCATTTTCATAAGGAAGGTTAAGAGCTGCATCCCCAGCACCTGCCTCCGTGCCTGGCACCTAGTAGGTCCTCTACACATATTTTAATGATCCTCGAAATCTCATTGTGAGGTAGTTCACAGTACAGCAGAAGCCCTCTTACCTGACACGATCAGGGGTGGATCATCTCATTTCGACTTAAAAAATACAGTCTACAGCCATGGCACCCTGAACAAGCCCGATCCCGTCTGATCACGGAAGCTAAGCCGGGTCAGGCCTGGTTAGTACTTGGATGGGAGACCACCTAGGAAGAGCAGGTGCTGTAGGTGTAAAAAATAAAAAATAAGGGATCGTAAGCTGACAAGGTCCTTGCAATCTGTGAGGTCAACCAAGGGTTGCCTCGCCTAAAAAAATAAAAAATATATAAAAATAAATACATCCAATTGCCATCTGTCAAAGTGGTCAGCCTCTGTTCTCCGAGGATGGGGCTGATGATTTAGTTCTCCATCTTTCCATAAACCTCACCAGCTGGGTATCACTGCAATTTGCAGCTTGCTGTTTTAAGGTGGAAGAAGGAATAAATGGCAGTCTGAGTGCAAAATTCTTCTCTATTTTTATGACTTTCTCCCAGACTGTAATAATCTTGCTCACAAAACTAAGTCAACAAGTTTTTAAGTGACTCACTTTAATCAGGTCTTCTAAGGATTCAACTAAGTTTTCATAGAAACAGTGCTTGTTTTCACACTCTTGGCTCATCAATTTGTATATTTAATTAAGTTACAATAACACGTACAACCACAGACACACTCAGCAGCAAGTGCAGGCGACCCTTAGCCAACGGTGGCTTCACTAGGAGAGTGGACGTGCACAGCACTGCAGAGGGGACTTGCTGCCTAGCTTCGACTCACGGCGTCACTCAGCGGGCGCGTGAGCTGGGAGGACGAGCTAAGCTGTCTGCCTGCTGCTCCTCCACTGTGCGAGGGGTGTCGTCTGTCGTGAGGATCAGGGGAGAAAACACTCGTGAAGCACGTGGGACACGTGGGCCTGTGCCGAGTGCCCAGGAGGTAGACTTCACGCTCTCACTGTCCTCATGGCTGCTGGTAGCAGTTGTCCTGTGGGCTGCAGGCCTCTGCTGGGGTTCGGGGAGGAGGTGGGGTGCATCTGTTGGTGAATGTGGTTTATGACCCATTTCCGGCCTGAGAAGGCGGGGTGGGGGCACACGGTGGCGAGAGTCACCAACGCCAAAGCCTCCTGGCCGGGGAGTCATAGTTTGCAGAACGGGCAAGGGCCCTAGGACCGTGCGGTTTGGATCCGGAGAGAAAAGGGGAGATTCACCATCCATTTTCCTTTGTTCTTTTGCCTGCTGAGCCCCCAAACCCCAGCAAGGAACAAAGAGCCTCAGGGCCGAGATTGCAAAGCCCCTGCCCAGCCTGCTGATGGCGCTGTGTCCTGTATCCGCATAGCGCTGGACCCTGAAAGAGGCTGTGTCCCCGAAACCCCTCTGTGTGTTGAGTTTTGGGAAGGTACCACGGCGGCCAGGGCTGCGGCCAGCAAGGGGTCACGTGATCGTGCAGAAGCCGGATGCCGTGGGTCTCCGCGGGTCCCTGCGGCCGGTGGCCCTGGGCTGTGGCGAGGGCCTGAAGGAGGCGGGGCGGAGCTCGGCGGCGGGAGTAGCTGTGGAAAGAGCAGCCCGCTGGCCCCAGCTGCGGTCACCCTGTCCCGCCCCCGCCTCTGCCGCCAGGCTCTAAGGCAGTGGGGAGGCGGCTCCCTTTCTCTGGGGCCCGCAGTCCGGCGTGCAGGAGGCAGGGCCACGCCGGGCGTCCAGAACTGAGCGAGGGCAGAGACAGAGGCTGAGCGAGGCTGTCTGTCCCCAAGCACCAGACCGCACCTTCCCCAGCCTGAACCGGGATCACGTCCCTGCATTAAATCGTCCAAGGCCATGGCCTCTCCTACTGCCTTTATCCATCCTCCAGGCCTCCCTGGTCCCTCTGGGACCCACCTACTGACCTGGGGCCACTGGGCACCAGGCCTTGGTCTCCAAATGGGAGACGAGATGGCCCTGAGGCCTGGCCTGGACGAAGAGGGACAGACACTCATGGTGGGCCTCTGGACCAAGAACCATCCTGGTCAGAGAGACCGCTTGGGGAGGACAAGCAGGGCGGGTGCCGGGGGCGGGGGGGCTGCTGGTCACCGAGCACGGAGGGTGCAGCATGCACGAGGCCCCGCACCACCAGGTCTTGGGCAAGCCCGGCCACCCGGTGGCTGGCGTGGGGACCACGTGCCAGTGCCTGGAAGGAAACACACTGCAAAGAAGACGTGAAATCAAGCCGACGAGCAGCAAGGAATTCTGCCCCCGGAGCCGGAGCCTCTGCGGGGAGAGGCCGGACAGCAAGCTCCCTGGCATGCGGTGGGCTCCCCACGAATGCTGGTGCTCTCAGACGGAAAGTTCTAGAAGTTAGGGAAACCATGGAGGCAAGGTGGAAGTGGTGACTCGGAAAAGGTTCAGGGGAAATGGGCGAGGGTCTCGAGAGAGGAGCAGAAGTGGGGGGAGGCAGGCAGTGCAGAGATGACGGGCGTGGGGAGGGTGCCCCCCTCAGCCGGGACAGCCCACGTGTACTCACGCTCCAGCCTCCGCGCAAGCCAGCCCGGCCCCGGAGCTGACGGGGCGCCCTCTTCCTCTGTCCCCCTGAGGGCCTCCTCGTCCTCTTCCTTCCCCCCGGGACGCCTGTGGGGGCAGGGGACGGGCAGAGCACTCCGGCCAGGCCCCCTCTTCCCTGGGGGTTGCTGTGAGGTCACAGCTGCAACACCTCCCGACACCTGTGCAGCCCCGCTCACCTGTGCAGTCCTTCTGCTGGGCCCCTTGCCACCCCTGCTGGGCAGGCTCCCCCTGGAACTGGAGGCCGCCCCGGAGCTGAGGTCTGGGGATGAAGGGGAGTAAAGGGGGTCAGTCTGAGAAGAATGGCTGTGGACGTGTGAGTACATCCCCTCTGACACACTGAGGGACAGAGAGACAGGCAAACCAGCGGTGGGTGGAGTCCCGGGGTGAGGCCCTTCGCTCTGTTAGGCCCTACTGGTGGCTGTCACGTAGAGCCCAGCTCGTGGACGATCAGACGTGGCCGGAGCCTGACCACCGCCCCACCCTGCCCGGGGCCTCCAGGAGCAAAGTCGCAGAGGGTTGGTGGCCAACTTTGAGTGAAACCCAGGTCCACTGGCCCCCAACCCCGTCCTCTTCCCTCATCAAGCTAATTTTATTTTGTTTGCAAATTCTAAGTAGGGCATCCTGGTCTTTAAAATAAGAGAAGCCGTACAGCCTACTGAATACATATAATAAATACGAAAATGTGTCAGCTCCTGAGGGGTGAGCGAGGGGTGAGCGAAGGACATTGACCTGTGGAGAGGCTGGGAGCAGGACAGAGGTGAGGGCGGGCGGAGGAGGGGCCCTCTGGAGACCCACAGAGCCGCGTCCGGAGCTGGGAGAGGGGACTTCCTGGGAGCACTGCCCCCATCCTGTGGCCCTTGCGGGAACTGCAGCCAAGGACTTAAAACTCTGTCTCCCTGGTGTGGCTGGGGTCCTGGCTTGCACCCCTTGGCTTCACTGAGCTAGTTAGCGGTCAGCGGGGCCCTGGCACAGCCCTAGTGGGGGACACGTGCCACCGTGCCCCGCCCACCTTGCAGCCTCAAATAGGCGATAGGTGTCCCATATGCTGGACGAGGGCGGATGAGCAGGGAAGAGGGGTCAGGCCAGCAGCTTGAGGGCGCCAGCTCTGCTCGCCACGACCCGCCTCCTCCAGGCAGTCCTCCCACCCTGCTCCATCTCAGCGGTCGGCTCACCAGGCTCTGAGCCAGGACCAGCCCACCCCGGGCCAAGTGGGTCCTCATGGCATCCGCCAGCTTGGCCACCAGCCGCTCTCTCACAGAACCTGGCTCCTGGGGACAGGAAGGGAAGTAGGGTACGGGGGAGGTCAGCGCTTCGGCTCCCGGGGGCCTGCGTGGGGCGGGCAGGGAGACCCACGGCGGGGAGGGGCTCTGTCTTCCTTCCCTCTTGCCCACCCCTTGCCAAGGTCCCGCCCAGCACCGTGGACAGAGACAGAGACAGAGGGACCCTCCCTCACCAGGTTCCCGGGACCCAGCCCCCGCTGTGCCCAGTGTGTGCTTAATGAGTGGGTGGATGATGGAGACCGGAGTGTCAGTGGGCAAGGCTGGAGGGCTGGCGGGAGGAGCTGGGTTTCTGGACAGGGCCTCACCTGGCACCGGGCCAGCGCGTCCTTGTAGTGCTCCAAGGCCTGAGCATGCTGCCCCAGTCTGGCTGAAGCAGCCCCCAGACCCTCACAGGCCTGCCACTGCCCCTTCGTGTCCCCTGGGGAGAGCCGGAGAGGTCTTTCCACGCCTCCTGCCCCACTGACCCTCCCTCCAGAGGCACTCCCCTCCCCCACCCCATCTGCCTCTCCACTGGCCCCAAGGACTCTCAGCCTTCGCCACCCCGCCACCCGCTAACCCCTCACACGCACCAGCATCCTGGGCAGCCTGCAGAGCGTGCAGGTAGTTGTCCCTGGCGGCCTCGTGGTCCCCCAGCTGGCTCAGCGCGAAGGCCAGGCTGCCGAAGCTGCGGCCCTGCTCCCAGCGCTGCCCCGCAGAGCCTGATGACAGAGCCCGCCCACCGCAAGAGTGGCCGTGGGCGTCAGGACCCTGCCCCAACGGGGTGCCACAGGCACCCCTCCAGAGGCGGCAGAGGCCTGGACTCCTGACAGCCAGCGTCTCTCAGCCCTGACCCTGGGCCTGAAAGTCTCCCCCCCGCCGGCCCCCGCCAGTCCGAGCCGGGCAGCATCTCTGTGCAGCGGGCAAGGCGGGCGTGAATGGCTCTCCCTCTGCCCGCTGCTGCCCTCCCAGCCCCAGGCCTCGGCCTCTGGGCCCAGCACCCTCTGCCCTGCCTGGCCACCCACTTCCTGCATCCCCAGCCCCATAACCGGTCCTAAAGGTCCAGCCACTCTTCAGCTTTGGGGCCCCTGCTGGACCCCCTCTCAGTCCCTCGGTCCCAGACGGATTCCCCAGGCCCTGGCACGCACCGTGCAGGGCGGCAGCCTTCCGGTGGAACTCCCGGGCCTCCTGGTAGTTGCCGAGGGCGTTGTGGGCCATCCCGAGGTTTGTCAGCACCGTGGCCGCCTCTCCCGGCGCCCGGCACAGGGGCAGCGCCTGCAGGAAGGCCTCGGCCGCCAGCGGGAACAGCCGGAGCTGGGAGTAGCTCAGGCCTAGGTCATTGTACAGCCGCCCTGGGGGGCCAGGCCAAGGTCACGGGTACCCGGGCCGGATGTGACCGAGGCTGCACTGGGGTAGCCCCCGTCCCACGCTCCCAAGGCCCACTGGCCCCTTCCCCAGCCCTCAGAAAGGCCTCTGCTTCCACCCCACCTCTCAGAGTGTCGCCCGGTCTGAACGTCCCCACACCCCAAAGGCCTCACCCAGCAGCCCCCGCTCGGCGCTCCTCTCCGCGAGCCTCCGGCTTTCCTGCAGCACCCGCACCACCTCGCTCACCGCGTGCTGCCCGCTGCTCAGCATGCAGCCCGCCGCGGCCCCCAGCGCCAGGGCTGCAGCCCGCGGCTGCCCGGCCTGCGCATAGGCCCGGCTTGCTTCCTGCAGGCAGTGAGCTGCTGGCCCGGGCTGCCCCAGAGCCTGGTAGCAGCCTCCCATTTGGGCCTGGGCTCGCCCCTGGTCACAGAGTGGCTGGTAGTGGCCCAGGGCCTTGCGGTACCAGGCCAAAGCTTGAGGCAGGTCACCCAGGGCATGGTAGGCCAGAGCCACGTTGAAACACTGGTCGCCGTGACGCCCGCCCTGTGCCTGCCCCTCAGGCTGGGCTCGCAGGAGCAGCGCGAGGCCTCGGGCTGGGTCCCCGGTCTCCACGTAGGCGGCCCCCAGGTTGAAGGCACAGGCCTGGAGGACGAGGGTGTCCCTTTCTCGTGGGGCCTCGGAGGCCAGGAGGAAGGCCCTCTGGAAGCTGGTCAAGGCCTCCTGGTCCTGGCCGGCCAGTAGGGCCCTGTGGCCAGCCCTGGTGAGGCCCAGGATGCTGGCCTCCCGCTGCGGCCACTTTCTCTTCTTTTCCTTCTTGGCGCTTGAGCGCTCCGGCTCAGGCTCTCGCGGGGCGTCCTCGGGGCAGGGGGAAGACATGGCGCTGACAACGGAGAGCACGGGGTTCAGCACAGCGCCCTCGGCACCCCCCAAGCAGAGGCCCTGGCAGGCGGTGCGGCGGCTTCCCTGCCCGGCTGAGATCCCTGGGCTGCGGGAACCTCCCGTGCCACCGCGCTTTGCTTCATCTGTGCCACCGTCACCGCAATGCCCCGCCAATTCTTAGCCCCCCCTCCTGCAGGTTAATAGCTTCCTTCCGAACGGCCCTCCCCTCGGCCAGCTTCCCTCTGCCCCCCGCGCGCCGCCTGGCATGTGTCACACGGGGCCAGAGCTGGCACTTCTCGTGTCTCTCTCACCTATTCGATGTGGAGCGACTTGAAGGGCCTGGCACAGAGCAGGTAACTGTTTATCACACATTTATCCCGAGAAACGCTGACCAGACGAGATGAAAGGCCCGGAGATGGCTGGTCACGGCGTCTAACGCACTTAAGACGGCCCGACGCGGCCACTCTCACGTTTGGCAGGGCCTGTCCTCCAGCGTCTGCCCCCGCCCCCGCGTCATCGCACGCACCACCCACTCATAATCTAGGTGCTCCTGCCGCATCTCAAGACGTAGCTCCAACCACGTCAGCAGACGCTCGGGGAGCCCCTGCCACGTGCGGGGGGCACCAGGCCCAGGAGGCTCCTGAACTGGCAAGGGGCCAACTTCCAGGAGCGAGGCCGCCGCCTGCTGCCCTCTTGCTGTCTGCCCCGGGGGACCCTTTCTCCCCCGTCTGCTGGCTGGTTCCGGCCCCCCCCCCCTCCAGGCGCCCTTAAACCCAGGACGCTCTTTCATGGGCTCTGCTTCCCGACAGGGCCTCTCCTCTAGAGAGGTGGGGGCTGTTCCCAAACTCTGCTCCCCGGTGCTGGAACAGGAGAGAGACCCAGGCACTGGGGTCTCAACACCCCCGCCCTGTTTTAGGAGAAGCGGCTGAGATGGTACTTTCCCCTTCTATAGAAACTCCTCCTGCGCCTGACAACACCCAGGAATCCTGCCTCTTCGGGGCCATCGCTCCGTCCTGTGGCCTCAGCCGGGAGACACCTTACCTCCTCGATCTTCTCCGCAGATGGCTTTCTGGAATGGTCCCTCTGGCTTAAGTTACCGCCCCTGGCTTCTTAGCTCAGAGCCCCGGGGGTTACCAGACAACCAGGTACCGCCCTCCGCTCCTAGGAGATTCTTTGATTGACAGATCAGGTGACCTATCGTAGTGCTGGACCCTGGGCACGGATGCCTGGGTTCCATTGCCTGCCCTGTCCCACCCCTGCAGACACACCCCTCAGGTCCCTGACTGGGAGCAACGAGTCAAGCATCGTGGGTCTGTTATTGGCTACAACCTCAAAGACCGTCTCCCCCTTTCACAGAGGAGGGGGCCAGGCTCAGACCGCAGGTGTGACCTGCCAGAGGTCACAGAGCAGTCGGGCAGCTGGGACCAGACCCTGGGCTTTCTGCGGCTGGGTCCCCTGCACTAGCTGCGACGGCCAGCTTTAAAGAGGCTCGGGCCGCTCGGAAAGCGAACCCTCCCGCACGCACGTGGGCACGCACGCTCGCGCGCTGCGCTTCTGCGGGGTAGTTTCGCAGTTGGGAACAGGGCGAAAGGTCGATGGTCAGGAAAGGCCTGGGCATCGCTGCCCGCGGACCCCCGTTCCTGGCTCCGCGGATCCGCAGCCCCCCGAGTTCTGCGTCATGGGAGGACGGCAGGCCCCAGGGCGGCCTGCGTCAGAGAGCAATGTCCTCGCTGACCTGGGAACGGGGCCTCTTCTAAGTAGAGGGGGCTTTGCCGGAAACGAAGGGAACTGAGGGAACGGTGGGGCTCAGCCGCGTTTGCCCGGGGCCTCCGCCCAGGGCCCGCCGTGCCAGGTCCGAGGCTCCTCGGCCCACGGCCGGGCCTGCAGGAGCCACCTCAGCCTGGCCGGGGCCAGACGGGCAGCTCAGTGTGCTGTGGACTCCGGGGCTTCCCCGAGGCGGGGTGATTTGGGGAGACACAGGGACCGAGGCCGCTGTCACCGCACTTCCAGTGGCTCTCAGCGATCCGGCGATGTGTCTGCATCATCCTCTCGTTCGTTCACTCTGCCCTTTGCTCTTTCCCGCTTTACCTGCGCTTCCGCCTCCCTGATTTTAACTCCAGCGACAGGCCAGTGCCTCCTAGACCGAGCTTGTCCAGGGGCAGTTCCCGCTTCCTCTAACCCGCCCACGCTGCGTTCCGCTTTAGCCGGTGGCCCACGCCCGGGTCCCCGAGCTGGTAGACGCCCATGTGGCCGCCTCTCCTGCAGCTCCCGGTCCGGCCGCTCGCCCTTCCGCAGCCGCTCTCCAGCACGCCTGTCCTCTCGGTCTGGCGCCCATGGCCTTGGGGGCCGGCGGTGCGCAGTGGTTAGGGGCTCGCCCTGGAGCTGGCCTTGGCTCTGCGCGTTTTCAGCGGCGCGGCACTTCTAAGCCTCTGGTTGCTCATCTCCTCTCGCGCTCTGCCTTAGCCACGGCCTCCCCGCCTCCTGGTCCTTCCTCCTCTCCCCACCTCTGTGGGCCCCTTAGGGACGACAAATACAGTCAGGATGCGAGAAGGCTGCCCACACCCCGACCCCTGGAAAGGGCCAGGCGGATGAGAAGGAGGTGTCCGGGGTCCGCGGGGAGGGAGCGCGGGGCCCGCCCGGCCGGACTGCAAATCCCAGCGTCCCCTGCGCGCGGCCCCGGCGCGGCCCGTCCGGCCGCGGCGACGGCGAGGGGCGGTGGCCGGCGGCGGGAGATTCAAACTCCGAGAGGACATGGAGGCGAGCGGCGCGGCCCAGGGCCGGGCGGTCTGTGAGTGGCCGGGCCGTGCTGTCCCCGCGGGTCGGGGAGGGGGCGGCCCTGGGAGGGCGCAGCGGGCGGGGGGACACGGGCCCCGGACGCCGTCCTCCTGCGCGGCCGGAGCGGAGCTGGGCGCGGCCGGACCTCCCGGCCCTGCGAGCTGGTTTCCTCCCTTCTCCCACATTCTGGGCTCCGCGGAGGGGGCAATGCGGGTGGTCCGGGTGGCCCCCTAAAATTCAGCGGTTACTGATGGCTGCCATGCTTGCTAAGCGCTACCAGGGGACAGGACAGACGCCAAAAGGGACCTGGAGGGTGACGGGGAGCAAAGTTTTGCCACCCCCAAATGCACCTTTTGGGACGTTGATTTTAACCGAGTTGTTGGGAGACAGAAGACTCGGGAAGAAGCTGTGGCCCTCCCGCCTGAAGGAGGTCAGATAGGAAAGCTGGCTTGGAGGCAGGGCGTCACCTGGCTGTCGCATGGGACCCGAGGCGAGGGCGGGGACCACCGCAGCAGGGCCTGCTCGCGGTCCCCGCCCGCTTCCCGCCGGTTCTGGAGGCCCAGCCAAGATCTGTGTCGCATGCTTCGCCTTCTCCTCTCCAGACCCCCGCCCGCCTTTGTCCGGAGGGGCATGTTCACCCCACTGCCCAAGGCCTCCACGGGTCTGCGTTCCCGCGGCCTCCACATGAACGTCCATCATACGTTTTGGACATTTTTCTCCTGTCCGTCTGTCTCCTGTTATTTTGATTATCGACTCAGCCAGAAGAACTTAGAAAAGTGGGAGGAAAACTATTTTGTTTGACTCCCACAGAGGGCTCCTCGACTTTTCGAGGCCCCTTGGGGACCATGCCTAGCCAGCTTCAGGGTGTCACAATTACCTGGGGCACTCGTTTGAGGTGCAAGTTCACGAGCCCCTCCCAGAGCTTTAGGGCCAGCAGGTGTGGTCGGGCCCTGCGTCTGACCTTCTGAACGCCAGGCAGTCTCTTCCTTCCACCCTTTTCCTTTCCCCTCCCTTAGGATTCAAAAGACAAGGTGCACGCCCACCGGCCTCTGGAGGGAGGCTGGGTCAGACCCCAGAGGGGCGGGGACCGACTTAGACTGTGCATGTCTGTACCCAGCCCGCCCAGTGGCTCTCACCGACCGGTTCATAGCTCTGGGGTTATGTCATTCACTTACTGGCTCATTTTCCATGCTTAGCAACCGACAGCCAACACTTGTTCCTTATGCCCTGCCTTGGAGGGACCTGTGGACTTCCTGCGGTTGGCCAGCACTTTGCAGTGTGAACAGGAGGGTGTGTGCGTGCGTGCGTGTGTGTGTGCGTGCGTGCGTGTGCGTGCGTGTGTGTGTGTGTGTGTGTGTGTGAACTGTCATTCCTCATAAGCCTCCCCCTCCCCAGATCATACTGCAGGGTGAGTGGGAAGGCATTAAGTGCTGAGTCAGGCAGAGTGACCGAGGCCTCGGAGTTTATTTTTTTGGGGTGTGTGTGTGTGTGTGTGTGTGTGTGTGTGTAGCTTTCTTGCATCCTGATTTTGTATTTGTCGTCTCTCAGGAGACCGCAGAGCTGGGGAGAGGAGGAAGCACCAGGGCGGAGGGCGGCTGTGGCTAAGGCAGAATGGGAACGCCTCTCATTTCGGGGCTCCCTGTTCTTGAGTTTGGGGGTCCGAGCGTTTGCATTTTGTTTAGCCTGGAGGTTGTTTTCCTCCTCAGGTGGCCCGCACCAAAACGGGCGAAGATGCCCTGTGGTCCTTGATCACCTGTCGTACTTAGTCCCGAGCGGTGGCGGTGCTCCCCGTCCCCCCGCCCCCCTCATTCCTCAAGGGTTTTTAAGAGTCCGGTCACAGAACCCCTTGCTCCCTTTGCTGCCCATGTGGACTGTCACCAGCCATGACCACGCTTGTCACATTAGGTGCTGTTCTAGTGATTGTCTCTCTTCTTGAGAAGAGGGGTCCCCTAGCCCAGCGCCTGCACAGGGAGGTGTGGGATGAGGGAAAGGCTGTCGGTGACGAGTCCTTGCTGCCCTGTCAGCCCAGCCTCTGGGAGAGGCCTGGGGTGGGGGGTGACGCGGGTCCAGGCCTCGGAGAACTCAGCGTCTAGTTAGTGGTAGAGCGAGGAGCCAAATTCTCGGCCAAGGGGGCCGGACGTCTCCGCTGGGAGGCATTGAGGGGGGGGCCCTGAGGCGGATTCGGCAAGGAGGGGTCAGGAAGACGTCTGCAGGGGACGGTCAGGAGTCCCTCTGAGCAGGACGGCGGTGGACGGGCCACGCTTCGGCAGGGTGCTGCCGAGGACAGCGCCACGGGTGGGGGCAGCAGACGGGAGCCAGGGTGTCCTGGGTAGAGGGACACGGATACGGGGGACACCTCCGGTCCTGAGCAGAGCCGCCTAAGACATGCGTTAGGGGGAGCCTCCGGCCCTCTGTCTAACGCCCCCTTCCCGGACCCTGTCCCCTTCGCCCCTCAGATGAGCGCCTCACGGCCGAGGAGATGGACGAGCAGAGGAGGCAGAACGTGGCCTATCAGTACCTGTGCCGGCTGGAGGAGGCCAAGCGGTGAGCAGCGGGGCGCCCTCTCCCCGGCCGCCCCCACCCCGCCCACGGCGCCTGCCCCACAGCAAACGCAGAGGGCAGGGCCCGTCCTGTGGGGAAGGGAGAGTTGAAATAGCATCTTCTATGTTTTTTAAGACTCTATTTTATCAGAGCTGTTTTAGGTTCACAGCAAAAGTGAAAGGAAGGTAGACTTTCCATCCACCCTGTCCACACACGCAGCCCCCCCGCCACACACGTGGCCCCCACTGCAGCCCCCCACTGTCGACTTCCCGCCAGAGAGGCGCATCTGTTACAGATGATGAACCACACTGACACAGATGTCATCATCACCCCAAGTCCGCGGTCCACATTAGGGCCCCCTCCTGGGGTCGCATATTCTGCGGGTTTGGACAAATGTATAACGACGCGTATCCACCATTATAGTGTCACACAGAGTCCCTTCACTGCCCTAAAAATCTCCTGTGCTCCTCCCGTTCCCCCTCCCCCAGCGCCTGGCAACCACCGGTCACTTTACTGTCCCTGTAGTTTTGCCGTTTCCAGAACGTCACGTACCTGGCATCACACAACACGCAGCCTTGTCAGGGTGGCTGCCGCTTCGTGGTAATGTGCCTTCAAGCTTCCTGCCTGCCGTCTCGGGGCTGACAGCTCATTTCTTATTGGCGCTGGATAATGACAGTGCTGCCCTGTCCGGACGCACCACGGCCCATCCCCCTACCCAAGGGCGCCTCGGTGGCTTCGGGTTCCGGCAGCTCTGATCAAAGCTTCCATAACATCTGCGTGCAGGTTTTTTTGTGTGGACACAGGCTTTGGCTCTTTTGGGGAGCACGACTGCTGGGTCGTAGGGTGACAGTACGTTTAGCGTTGCAAGAATCCACTAAGCTGTCTTCCTGAGTGGCTGCACCGTGTCGCGTTCGCAGGAGCAGCGAGCGTGAGTGACAGCTCCTGCCGCTCCACCTCCTCGCCAGCGATCGATCGGTGGTCAGCGCTCCAGATGTGGGCTGTTCTGGGTGTGTCTGGTGTCCCGTTGTTGTTTTAATTCGCATTCACCTGATGACATAAGATGCGGAGCATCTTTTCATGTGCCATTGCCCTCTGCGTGTCTTCTTTGGTGAAGAAGGTCTGCTAAGGTCTCTGGTCCATTTCTCGATCGGGTTGTTTATTTTCTTATTGTTGAGTTTTGACGGTCGTTTGTTATCTTGAGTAACACTTTTGTCAGAGGCGTCTTTTGCAAATTCTTTCAGTCTGTGGCTGGTCTTCTCATTCTCTTGACGTTGTCTGTTGTAGAGCAGAAGTTTTTAATTTTAGTGAAGTTCAGCGTATCAATTGTTTCTTTCAAGAATTATGCCTTCGTTGTGTCTAAAAAGCCATCACCACACCCGGGGTCACCCAGGTGACCTCGCATCATCTTCTCCTACGCTGGCTTCTAGGAGTTTAACAGTTTTACATTTTACACTTCAGTTGACACTTCAGTTTGAGCTGATTTCCGTGACGGGTGTAAGATCTGCGTCTAGGCTCGTTTTTTGTAGGCGGACGGCCAGTCGTTCCCATTCCGTGTGTCGAGACTGTCCCTGCTCCGCTGTGTGTCCTTTGCTCCTCTGTCCGGGGTCAGTTGACCGTTTATGTGAGTCTCGTTGCCCCGCCCTGTCTGGAACGCTGTGGCTGAGTCGCTTCTCCAGTGTCCTCCTCCTCCAGTGTCAGGTGGCCCACGCCGAGTCTGCTGCCGCTCCCCGTAAACTGTAGACTCGGTTCCTCGAAATCCACAAAATAACTTGCCAGGCTTTCGACTGGGATTGCATCGAATCTACAGTTCAAATCGGGAAGAACTGACATGTTGACAATATTGAGTTTTTCGATCCATGAATATGGAAAATCTCTTCATTTATTCAGTTCTTTGATTTCGTTCGTCAGCGTTTTACGGTTTTCTCACGTTGATCTTGTGTATGTTTTGTTAGATTTATACCCACGAATGTGATTTTTGGGGGCGCTAACGAACGTAAATGGTATTGTTTTTAATTTCAAATCCCGCTTGGTAGACAGGAAAGCAACTGACTTTTATACGTTGGCCTCATATCCCGAAAACTGGCTGCAATCCCTTGTCAGGACCAGCATGTTCTGGTCGCCTTCCTTCAGATTTCCTGCACAGACGATCCCACCACCTGTGAACCAAGATGACGTCACGTCCCTTTGTCACGTGCCCCACGCACCTCGACGCGTGTCTCCGTAGTCCGTGGGCATTTGCCGACGTGGCCGCAGCACCATCGCAAAGCCCCCAAGTCATCCCTCGGTCCTGGGAAGATCAATATCCAGGCCTCTTTCAAATTTTCCTGCTTGTCTAAAACAATCCGCTTTCCCATAGGGACCTGAGAACGTTCACGCATCACCCTTGGTCGTCGTGACCCTCGGGTGGTCTTTACTCTAGAACTGCCCGCCGCCCCTTCTCAGTTCTCATGTCACTGACCTGTCGGAGAAATGGGGCACGCGCCCCATAGCGCACCCCACGTTCTGCCTCGGTCTGTGCTTTCTCATGTCCTTCCACCTGTCCCTCTCGACCCCGTATTTCCTGTAAGTGAATGTCGGCTCTAACAGCAGGATAAACGCCTCATTCCTTCCTCTTAGTCAATAGTACGTTCTGAACGCTCTGCATAAGCAGGACGGGGGGACAGGCAGTGAGGCGCCTGGCGGGGAGGCGTGAGGTGGGCCGCGATCGGCTTTGGGAACGGCTGCTCTCATGCCGACCCTGAGGGCCGGAGAAGCGTGCAGACCCCACCCAGGAGCCCTGTCCAGCAGCGACGCTAACACTTTACACTTACATGCAAAGTGTTTTCACGGCCTTTGCTCGCTGAGCCTGGGCAGCTGCCGGCCGAAGCAGGGGTTCAGGCGGCGCGGGGTTTAGGCAGCGGCGCGGGGTTCACTTTGCAGGTTGTGCAGATGAGGCTCAGGTGAAGGGGGAGACGGTGTCTCCCGATGCCAAGGGCCGTGACCTTCCTGGCCCTTTGTGTTGCTCCCCTCCCGCCAGCCCTGGGGGTTCCCCACCACCCTCCTCATCAAAGCCGGGTTATGGGCCGTGTGGGTCATGCTCACGGGCAGGCCTGACCCTTCTGTACCTGGCTTCTCAGAGAACGTGCCGGATGGGAGAGTAAGCAGATTCGGTTGGTCCGGCAGTCAAGTGCCTGGCAGGCTGCGTGAACGGTTATATCACGTGCCATACAGGAGCCTGTTTAAGCTCCCCAGAGGCGGGCGGGTTCAGATCGGTCAGGGGAGCTTTCCCGGGGCTGGGGGCTGAGAAACGGCCAGTCCAGGGGTTGGGCAGCTTGGGAGAGGGTGGGCACAGCCAGGCAGTGGGCAGAGAGGGGTGCTGGGAGCAGGGCAGGGGCGGGAGGCCGGGCAGTCGGGGAGGGGAGGTCCTGGGCCGGGGCATGTGCAAAGGACCCGCCATGCTCTCGTGCCCTCAGCTGGATGGAGGCCTGCCTGAAGGAGGAGCTGCCTTCCCCGGTGGAGCTGGAGGACAGCCTCCGGAACGGGGTGCTGCTGGCCAAGCTGGGCCACTGCTTCGCGCCCTCCGTGGTCCCCCCGAAGAAGATCTATGACATGCAGCAGCTGCGGTATCGGGTGAGTCCGAGGGCTCTGCCCGCTGCGGCCTTCCGCTCACACTGCCCCTTCCTGTAGCCACGGGAGCAGGGGGACACACCACTCGTTGTCCGAACCTG